TTCAAATATTAAAACTTTGTGAATTAATACAGAAAAATAAAACAAATTCAATGTTGGAAAACTTTGTTCTTATAAAATAACTTTCTTAAGTTAATCTATTTCTTAAAATCAATATTATCAAAATTTGTATCAAGTCCAAAATGAATAAGTTGACTTTAAAAACAATAATTGGACTTTCATTTAAGCTCAAATAAATAATCTTTAAAGATAGATTTGGATTGAGAAATATGAAAACAAAGAAAGTTTGTTTATACTTTTGAAAAACATATTATTTATTTAGTACAAAAATATAAAACTTAAGAACATGTACTAAATAAATCTTTTTCAAAATCTTGATCAAGCTTATTTAGCTTAATGTTTTATCATTTCAAAATAAAGATCAATTCAAGGCTAGCATAATCCTAAAGGTAAGTAACAATTTTAACATTTCAAGTATATCTGATCCTATGAAAAATTTTGAGTGATCTAAGTAACCAAAAATACCAAATAAATTAAACCTAATTAAACTACCAATTATGGAAAGGAAAGACATAAATGGAAAGTTAATAAAAATGGTAGTTATTAAAAATAGCTAGTTACTAAAAATAAAAAACTATAAATCATACAATTACTAAGCAAAACTAAAGGCATAAATTAAAATTGCAATTAAAGAGAAAAGAGATGAAAAACAGAACCTGGAAGTATCAAATTAATCGAAATAAACCTAACAAAATACAAAAATTAAAAAGAAAGCATTTTTAATTGAACAATTAACCTAATTAAACTTCTAACCTAGCCTAAAAGGCATGAATTGTATAGAGCAAAAATTATACATGAAAATGACATGGGAATGCATAAAATAATGACCCAAAAACAAAATTTGAAGATTGGCCTAAAAGCTAGGCTAAATACTGAAATGCAATGACACAATTTCTCACTTAAGCATTTTACCGAACACCTAAGCTACTAACATGTAAACAACAAAACATGCAACCTAGGCTATATGTTAGTAGTTGACATCATCTAAACTTAATTATGAACCCAAAAATGAAATTTTTAAGGTTGAGAAGACCCAAAATCAAACCAAACAATAGCTAAAAAAAATATAACCAAATGAGCTACTAACATTAACTTATATGCTAAAATGCAAATAAAACTCAAAGGAACTTCAATGAAACCTTAAATAAAACTTCATAACCTTAAAATATGCTTAAAATGGAACAAAAAACTCATAGGAACTGTATTTCAAAAACTAGGCAGAAACTCATCAAAATAGTGTGCAAAAATAAACATTGAAAATGGACTCTAACAAAGACCTAGTATGCTAAATGTAACTAAAACTTCAAATAAAATAAGTATCACTAATCTAAGCTCAACAAGAGAGTAAGAACAAGAAATTAAATTTCACAAATCGAAATAATACTAAATCAAGTGTAAAGAAAGCATAAAATGTAATCCTAAGCAAAATAGTAACTAGAATGCATTGAGATCAAACACTAAAGGAAAGTATTTATAAATTAATTAACATGCAATATAAAGCTTGAATTAAAGCAAAACAACAAGTGAAAAGCTTGAATATGAATTCAAACTATATACAGAAAATACCTAAAAATTGAGCTTCAAATAAAAATGCATTTTAACTTTAAATGAATTCATCCTAAAACAGAATCTTAAATACAAAAAAAATAATGAAACAAGAATTACAATACAACTAAATTAAAGTTTCTCCAAAGAAACTATAAAGGAAGATCAAAAGCATTGAAAACCGAAACTAATCCTAATACTAGAAATGTAAAATTGTTGGAATTAAATTCTAGATCTACAATCCTAGAGTGCAAAAGAACTTGAATTGAGCTAAGATAAGTTAGATCTATAAGTTAACTACAAAATCAAGCAAAGAAATCAATCAAAACAATGCAGTAACAAGCTTAATCAACTTCAACAAAAAGCAAGTGCAAAAAATGTAAAAACAAAAAAATTGAAAAGAAATTAGCCAAACAGCCATGGAAAATAACAAATTCAAAGCAAGGAATTGAATTAAGCATATAATCAAGTAAAATAACAAGCTTAAATCAAATAAAGAATGGACCAAATGCCAAGTAATGAGAGAAGACTCCACAAGTGCTTCACCACTTGCTGCCACATTTACTGCTAAATCTCCAATCGAAACTTTCAAGCACTCAAGCCATTTCCTAAATTCTTTAAAGATCACTTACTCTATTATTTGAAGATGGATGAGGTGGATAAGTGTGTTGATAAGGTAAGCTTATTAGCTAGATCACTTAAGCCCTTTGTCACATTCTTTCTTAAATCTAATATCAAGCTTAAAGGTGAAGAAGAACTCATTAGCAAAGAACTTACTTGTCTAGTAGCTTTTTTCATTCCATGATCTTATGCTCGAAGCTATAAACACCTCATTCTTAGAGTTTTATTATAAAAGACCATCCATTAAGGAAAAAGTTGAATAAAAATGATTTTGGTAATGATGGATCAATTTCCTACACTGACTTGTAAAAAGGTCTTAGTAATGGTCTTGATCAACAAGAAATTGAACCTCATAGTATGCACATGCCATTTCTTCTATTCTTTGAAAATCCATTGTATGATTATTTGAAAATGAATGTGGTTGAAAACCCATTATTTAACACCTTTGATGAGCTTAGTGACAAATGTAAGGATAAAATAGAGGAAATTTTGAAAGAAATGTTAAAAGTTGATAATGTAGAGGATTTGGATAATGATGATGATATAAAAGGATTCTTTACCTGCTTAGAAATTTTCCCAACCTTTAATTCCTAGCTTGGTACTGATTGCACTAAAATTTTAGCATTTTATCATGCGTTTTTAGTGTAATTTCTCTTGAATATTTGCTTGTTTCTTGAGAAATTTGACAAAAATACTTCTAAATGCATAAATATTCAATATGTAGGTAAAAATTTGAAAAAAGAGAATTCAGAGCTTTTAAACTCATTTTGGATGTATTTTAGTGTAAAAAGCTATCAAAAGGCCAAAATTAATATACATGTGCTTTTATTGCCAATCATGGTAGATTTTCTTACTTTTTTCCTCTATGATTTCTTTAGCTTAGTTGAGCTTAATTGAACTTTATTTCAAGCTTTAATATTTATTATTTTCATTTGAAAAGTCTTTTTTAGCTTACTAGTGCTTTGTCACCCTTGTAGTATTTTTACATGTGCTAGAAATGTGATATATGAATTAGTGTGATTTGAAACTATAATTGAAACTAAGAATTTTTCCAAATTTTTTCATTCATAAATTGGCAACTAGATGGTCTGTATTTGGTTGAAAGTTGAAGAAGAAATTGGTTGCAAGATTGGTATCAAAAATTGAAAGTAGGATTCAATATATGCCATTGGATGCACTTGATGGGTGATCAAAGCTTGTGATGCCTTTTTGAGGATTCAAAAAAGGATCAAATGTAATTACTTAGTTGGCAATTTGAAAGCTTTTTATTGGATATAATTTTGACTTTTTGGAACCTACTAGATCAAGTGTAGAAATCTTAAAGTGAAGTGAAGCAAAAAGAAGCAAAGAATGAGGTTAAGGATGCAAGTTAGTTGAGTCACAAGACTTTAGAAGATGTGGTAGCTAAGCTGGATTTTTCTTGCATTTTGATTGGTTGAACCACCTCACATTTACCTATAAATATGAAGGAGTGGCTGGCATTGAGGAGACTTTTAGAGACTTTTACCATTTTTTTCTAGATTTTTCTCTTCAAACAGTTTCCTCTTTATTATTTTAAATGATTGTTTGAGAGAAATCTATATTTACTTTCTAGCAAAATTTACTTTTTTGCCTTTATTTTACATGTACTTTAAGAATCTTTCAATAAAAATTCATTTTCTTTTAAGTTTTCAAGTTTAATTTATTGCAATTTCTCTTGTTTTTCAGATCTATTCGACGAATCACATTTTTGACCTAGTTGCAATTTTTCATTGAAACTCTATCAATTCTTATGAGTTTAAATCTTTTTTTTTTTTTTTTGTAGATTCTTGATTTACTGTTTTACAAATCTAAAAAACATCACAGTCAAATTCAATTTACAAATTTCCAAAAAATTCTTTAAAGTTCCGATTAGATCTAGAAAGTGAGCTAAAGCTTGAGTAAGTGAAAACACTTCACGTTTTGGATGTATGGTTTGCAATTTCTTTACTTTGCACTCTTTAATTCATCAATTCACTTGTTAAATTTTATTTCATCGCATTTAAATTCATGCATTTCAATTTTATTTGGCTAAATTTTCTTATAATTGCTTTGTTTTTGTTGTTCTTGCACTCGGGATGTAATTGAATTCAACGAGCTAAATTTTTTATTATTTCATGCAATTTCTTTGTTGATTTAGGTAGCAACCTCAGCCACAAAGAATAAAGTTTTTAATAATAGAAAAAAAATAATCATTCCATTTAATTATGAGTAAAAACATCCTCAAAAATCTGTCAAAATAAAAATAAAAAGGCGCAATATTGGAATTTGCTTTCCGGAGAATTTTCCAAGCAACTCTTTAACACACCAAACCGGCCTCTTCAAGCAGGATGACATTCCCAATTGAACCTAACCTAGAATATCATAGGGCATCAGATGGCATCCCAATGTTTAAGCACAGGCAACAAGCCAATGTAAAGCATGTTCAAGAGCACAATCATACCTGTTACCATACCCATGTGCTGGGCTTGGATTCTGATCTAGACCTTTGAGCTAAGAAAGTAATGTTGGCTTACTATAACATAATGAATTCAAAGCTGCTTCTCAAATAGCAAAACCTTTCGACTGTATTTCTTAAAGGATAAACTAAGATTTGCCTTTTCTAACTCAAAGAGCTGCAACTACTTCCCAGGAAAAGAACAACAAAGTAGGAACCTGTACAAATATGTGTGCGTGTGTGTGTGTACACACACACACACACATATATTTTGAGTGGTAATACTAAGCTGAGATTTTCACAGATGCCATGCTCAAATTCAAACAGTCTGAGGCACTTCAGTGGCATTCTCCCCCTGAAATGGTTGAGTTTAGGTAAAGGCACCAACCAAAGTGATAGACCAGCAAAAAGAAAATATTGAAACCAATAATTAGCAGAGCAAACCCACATGATTCAAAATTCTTACTGAATACCCTTATTCAATGTTCAAGCATTTAAAAAAGCCACAATAGTGTATTGTGCTAAGCATCAAAAGTTTAATAAATGAACTATGCTACGAACAACCCATCAGTTAACAGCTTGCAGATGCAAGTAGATGAAGAAATAGCTTTATGGATCACCAAAGCAATAAACAGATTAAATTGAACATGGCAAAGGGGACCACAAACAGTGTTGCCAAATCCATGTTAAAACAGACAACAAAAGCAGCAACAGCAATGCAGAAACCATGCAATTACAGCACTGCCTTCCAAACTTATAAAACCACTGTTTTTTCAACAGTTACAGCTGCATAATTTGCATAGATCACTTATATAAATTTATCAATCTATCTACTAATATTTTTCAACCTTGAAATGAATGGAGATACATTTGTGACTGGTACTAAGCATTGGATTTTCATTTATTTATTTATTAGTTTCTGTTGATGCAGAATAGAAATAAGCTAATTGAGGGATTAAACTATAGAAGATTTTGTTTTGTTACTGTGTTGTATTGAATGTAATTGTAATTTTATACATAATTTAGAATTTTTTATTGTTTAAGCTAAGTTTTATATTAATTACTGTTTTGCTTATTTTCCAAGCATTAGGATTCTATTATCTATTTGTTATCATGTATTTACTAGGATTTAGGGCTTAGCTTATAACAACTATGTAATTTCATTTTCAATAGCATAGGTCTAATATAGAAGTATTATAAAAAATTCCCACCATGGTGTGTGATGCAATCAACCTTGGTGTGATTCCTTAGAAACCCCAAATGTGATGCTTAGTGAAGACTTTCCACGAGGCAATTAACTATTTCCTCATTCAAAAGAAAAGCTTAGCATGTGTGCCATTTAATAGCACTCAAGGGATCTCGACAAACAATGGAGCCATGAAAGTAGAGCTGAAATCTCTTGCTAAATTGGCGCAAATCTGCTTCCAAATGAGGTTTCATGCCAGGACGCTTACCAGCAGAGTGCATGGTGTAGGTATAGTTAGGTGCTTTCACACTTGAAAACATTGAACTCAAGGAGCACTCAAATAATGAAACCATCGGTTCATAAGGAAAGGCCTGAATAAAACGGTAGGACCATAGCGAAAGGGGCAACAATGCGACAGCATTGAAGGGACTTAAGAGGGAAAACAGACATCCATACAATGGGAGAACAAAGGGTATATTTCTCCTTTTTCTTTTATTAAGTTTTCTCTATTATCTCAAGAACTCTGAACAAAAAATTTTCCATTTATCACCTAGCTATCCTACATCAGTCACAAAGATGCAAGGTGGAAAGAAGCTACTTTGAAAGATTTAACTATTTAGAGATTTTATTTGGTGTTATTGATGTATTTTATGACCTTAATTAATTTTTCATATTGTTTTAGATTTTTGTATTATTAAAGCTATTTTATAGAAGTCAACATGTTGCTTATCTTTCAAAAATTAGGCTTCGGGGTTATATTTGGAATTTGCATTTAAGGTTTAAGGCTTAGCTCATAAGTTCGTAATTTATATTTTAATAAATGTGGTTTTAATATAAAATTATTCAGAAAACGTTCAGCATTACTGCTCTTATTATCCAAAAAGGCAATCAGCCTTCGAAGTGACTCTTAAGAAGCCATAGAAGGAAATTTCTTCTCCTCCTTTTCTCCATTCAACATTCTCTGTTGCTTTAAGAACTCAGATTAAAAAAAAAAAAAAATCTTCAGAAACCTTATTCAAATCACTATCCTAACAAACAGTAAAACAGGCAACAAATTTAACACTTTGTACTATGTTACAATGTAATTATGATAGCACATAATGTTTAAAAGATAATTTAAAGAAACAAGCACTGCAATTTCCAAACAGTGTCATCATACAAGGATTAGGAAGTGCACCAATAAACCATTCGGAGAGGATAAAAGAAACCATCTGCTTAGAGGAATGGTGAAGCACACACCACCAGCATCACCAGACTAACTTGATGTTGATGGTACTCAGAAGAAAATCAGAGTAATACTAACATTCAAAACTTTTAAAGGATCTGGCCAAAAATACTTTTCTTTGATAAATAGCAGCAACCAGTTAATTCCTATCAGAAATTAGCCAGAATCTGTAATTTATTTTCTTTTTTACATTGTTGCAGTAAATAAAATCTAATTCTTTTTTCAAACTGACAATCAAGAAAGATAATGCCAGTAACATTCAACAATCAAGCCAAATAAGCAGAAAGCTTCCCTATAGCAAGTCAATATTCAACTTTAGGACACTCCGTCAACAAGAATGGACATAAATAGCCCTTGCAGAAAAAAGACTATATAATACTCTCAAACAATTAAATGACTCCCAGATAGTATTACCATCAAAATTTAAATCTAAATAGAAATTAGAGAGGGACATATCTCTCAATTGAGCTATCTAGAAGAGCTACTAAACCTATTGCAGAAGGAAGTTTATGACGCTGCTAAAAGAGCTGTAAAGCATAGCTCTGATGAATGAGAATGTCAGTGGACAGTCTAAGGGAAAAGAACAGACAGATGCTTACATCAATAGCCCGAAGAGTCCTGACAGGCTGTGGCTTTAGCCGAGAAACTTCAGCACCAGAAGCAGATACATTTCCACCGATACCATCATTATGACCCTGGGAAAGGAAAATCAAAATTTACAAATCATATAAAATTCTCAAGTAGTTAGGATTAACAGAGAAGAAGGGTTACTACCAGAAAAGAGTTTCTGTTGTGTTGCTGACGGCCTTCAAAGAGAGAAGTGTAATAAGCGGGATCATAGATGGCGCCTCCCAAAGCGTCATCAGAGTCATTGTGAGAGCATTGTCTAAGTATGGAATTGGAAGGAGTTGCAGGGCTCAGAAAACTATTTCTCAAATCAAAATCAGGGTCTCGCGGAGCGGTAGGACAGTCTACATAAGAAACTCCCAGCCTATAAATTTGAATCCACAACAGCGACGACCAGAACCTCACACAAAACCCCATGATCTCCATCACAAGCGTTAGTCTGACAGAGAAGATGAACAACATTCCGCGACTCTCCCGCTCGCTCTCGCTCGACATGTTCCAAATATCGTGGGAAAAGAGGATGAGCCACGAAATGTCGAGCAGAATGGCGCAGACGAGCAAAACCGCGTAGGTTCGGCCTAAGCTCTGACTGCTGCTCTCGATGGCCACCAAAGCGAACAACGCTATGCCCAAATTGATCAGCAACACACCATTGTATAATGCGCCCAGGGATCCGATCAAGGCGCATCCAATCTGACCAATCAAATCAAAGCTTTTACAAAGAGAGAAAGAAACCCTAGAAATGCTAATAGTATTATTTTTTTAACACAAAAAAAAAAAAGAAAGAATTACTTGGATGTAAATGAGGATGACTGCCAAATACTGAAGCCTATCATAATCGCGAAGACAAGCGTGAATCCCATCTCTCAGACTCTGAGAGCAACAATAAACCATCATCTGCTGCGATTCATCCAATTTGATTGTGTCCTGAAAGCAATCTAACAAAAACCAACTGTTTTTTTTTTTTTTTGTGTGTGTTTGTTTGGGTTTGGCGGAACTACATTGAAATGAAATAAAAAGATCAAATAAGCTCAAGACCTGTTGAAATCCTAGTAAATTAGTTTTAATGGAAACAGGGCGACCACTTCCTCTCCTTTTTCTTTGCTCGTTTTAAACTAACTTTTTCCCTCATTCTCTTGATCTCTTCACTCTTTTTCTATTTTTTTTCTTTTTCGAAATTAGAAATTAACTTTGTTTATATATGCTCTTATTTCAGATTGAACATTAGGTATAAATGCTAAATAAAGTAAACAGACTGTTTATTCCTATTAGTATTATTTTGTATAAATATTCGGAAACTAAATGCCTCTCCAAGCAAAGCTGGGTAATATTTTAGTTAATATAAAAATTAAAAAAGAATACTAATAGGCGCTGCTTACAGATCCTGACGAATCTGGCTAGGAAACCGTCCTTTCGAATGAAAATGTCCGTATTGAATTGTTTAGGCTTTTTTGAGTTCATTTGTTTTGTTTGATTAAACATACATTTGTGAATTTTATCTAATACTTAAATAAGAAATTCAATTTTTTATCTCAATAAGTGTAATATAATGATATTATTGATTAACGAGAGATTAATCTAAATAAGAGAATAAAGAAATAAATCAAAAGAAAAGAATATTAAGATTAGTGAAAAGAAAATATGAGAGTAAGAAAATTGTCACTTTTCATTTATGCCGAAAATGAGCATATACATGACAATTATAATTAGTGAAATACAATTCACAATACATATAGTTGTTACTTTAATAACTATTATTCTTATAATTGACTAATCATTAGCTTGACAACTTGCATCAGATAACTTTATTCTCAACTCTTTTGCATCATTTTATTGCCAATTTCCTTTAGTCCTTTACTGGTATTTTTATCAGCTTCTAACTTCATCACATTACCTTCCTCTTGAGAGCATCCTTACCCCCAAGGATCAAAAAGTAAAAATTGAGATTTAAAGACCGAGAAATCCTCCCACATAGCATTTTTTGGACCTAGATTAGATGACTTCACTAGTAGCTAAGTGATTGTCTTATTATTTCTTTACATCATTAGTTTATCAACACAATAATAGGATATACCAATGGTTGACCATCTTCACCCACTTCAGGAAGGGTTATACTAGGGATATATTTAGTGTCAACCTTTTTCTTTAAGAGGCTAACATGACAAACATGATGCAACTTTGAAAATTTTGATAACTACAACTTATAAGCTACTTTCCCAATCTTTATAACTACAGGATAATGACCATAATTCATTGAAAAAAGCTTTAAATTTTTTCTTAACATAAGATAGGTCTGCTTGTAAAGCTATAGTTTTAAATACACCATACCCCTCACCTGAAAACTCCCTTTTAGTCTTACTTTTATCAGCATAAAACTTCATATTATGTTGAGCTTTTCCTAACTAGTCAACTAGTAACTTACTCAAATTTCTCATTCTTTAAGAAGTCTTCCATAGTGGATATTCTTGTTTCATTACCAACATTTCAAGAACCCAAGAGGTGGATATCCATATAAAGCAATATGATAGCTAGTGTTGCATTACCACTCAACTAAAAGTAGCCATTGATTCTAAGTTTTCTGCTTAAGGAAGCACATACATCATAGGTATTACTCAAGGCATTGGTTTAACCTTTTAAACTTGCCATCTGACTATGGGTGATAAGCTATGCTAAACTATAAAGAAATACCAAATAGCTTAATCAATTCCTACCATACAGAACTAATGAAAAGCTTATCCCTATATGATATAACAGCTTTTTGAGCTCCATAAAGTTTATAAAATTTAATTTAAGTATGCCTTAGGCACATTTAAGGCAGTTTAAGGATGAGAAAGAGGCAAGAAATGTACATATTTGGTAAATTTATCAATGATGACCATAGTACAATTGAATTTATGAAATTGAGGCAGTCCTTCCAGCAAGTCCATGGTGATCACTTCCTAAGTCTATGTAAGAATTGGAATCGATTGTAGTAAACCAAGATAAGCAACATGCTCACTTTTATTCCTTTGACACACGTCACACTGTTGCACGTAATCTTGCACTAGCTTCATCATCTTAGGCCAATAAAAATAGAGTTTAAGTCCATAATAGATTGTTTGGATTCCTAAATGACTTCATTGGGGTGATCATGAAATAGTTACAATATTTGAGTTCTCAATAGACCCTGACTTCTAATATAAATGTCTTTGTACTTGAGTACTCTATTACTGAAAGAGTGGTTGAAATCACTTGCAGGATTTTATAATAAGAGTTGTGATCTTCTCTTGAGCAATTGTATCTCCTTCATAACTTTGTTTCATTTCAATTACCTATTTAGGCGTAGAATGGTTGAATGTAGAACATACAACCCTCATTCTTCTTCATTCACCTCAATAGAGCACCTGCCACTATATTTGTTAACCTTCTTGTATTAAATAGTGTAATTCAAACCCAATAACTTGGTAACCCTTTTCTTTGAATAGTGGTAGTTAGTTTATACTTTAAGAGATATTTTAAGGTCTCATGATCAATCTTAATAATGAATGATCCACCTTCGAGATAGTGTCTTTACTTAGAACTGCCATCAAAATAACTAGATACTTCTTCTCATAGATAGATAAATCAATGTGTCAAGGACCCAAGGCTTTGTTTAAATAGGTAATAGGCCTTTTTTCTTATGATAAAATTGCTCATATACTTGAAGAACAAGCATCCATTTCTACGTAGAAAAGCTTCAAAAAATCTGGTAATGTAAGTATTAGGACATTGCTCATTACTTTTTTAAGTTGTTGAAATACTATTATTGCTTTACTTGACCAATGGAATCTATCTTTTTTCAACATCTCTGTTAAGGGCTTACATATCACTCCAAATCTCTTAACAATTTTTTTGTCATAGCCAATCAGTCTAATGAACCTTTTTAGAGATTTCAGACATTTAGGAAATGGCCAATTGATCATTGTTTTCTACCTTAGCAGAATCAATTGCAACCCCATCTTGTGAAATGATATGACTGAATACTCAACCTATTTTTAACCAAATAAACATTTGTTTTTCTTGGTAAATAAGCGATGAAGTTTTAACACCTCAAAGACAAGTTTCAAATATAAGACATGTTCCTTCAAAGTAGTGCTATAAACCAATATATCATCAAAAAATACTAACATAAACTTTCTTAAACATTCAAAAAACACATTATTCATCAATGATTGAAAAGTGGCAGGTGTGTTAGTAAGTCCAAATGGCATTACCTTGAACTCATAGTGTTCGTGATGAATCCTGAAGGCTGTTTTAGGGATGTCTTCAGCTTTGATTATGATTTTCCAATATCCTAACCATAAATCAATATTAGAGAAAGTACTTTGCACTCTTCAATTAATTTAACAAGTCTTCCATTACTAAAATTAGAAACTTGTCTTTAACTATCATTGCATTAAATTATTTGTAATCAATGCACAGCCTTCATGTACCATCTTTTTTCCTTACTGATAGATAAGGTAAAGCAAATGGACTCTTGCTAGTCTAAATAATAGATGAAGACAACAATTTTTGAAATTTGTCTTTCCACTTCAGTTTTCTAGTGATAAGAAAACGTATATGGCCTTAAATTTATAGGTTGAAACCCTTCCATGAGAGGTATACTATGGTCATGTGATCAAGCTAGTAGTCCAATTGATTCTTCAAAGATGTTAGAATAAGTAGTGAGCAATTCTTGCAATTTAAGAGGAGTCTTTTCTTCCATACAATCTACACTAATCATATAAAGCTCTCCACTTATGTCTGGGTCCTTACTAGCCATTTTTTACAATTTTTTACTAGTAATGAGCTTAACATCTGGTTGTTTTTTACTTCATTTCAATGTCAATTGCTAACCCTTTTTCTGAAAAGTCATAGATAGCTCATTAAAATCAAACATCAATGGACTGTAACTTTTCATCCAATCAATCCTAAGAACCATGCCACTACCCTTCATTAACAGTACTCTCAAATTATGTGAGAAAACATGTCTTTACATTAACTAGGTTAACTCTTTACATTTGGCACTATTTTATAATCTTTTTTCATTAGCTACTGTTATAGCTAAATGATTAGTTTGCTTCAGCTTCACTCCTTCTTGAGCCCACTTAGAAGTGATAAAACTATGAGTGCCACCACTGTCGATTAGGATATAAAGTGGTTTCTCTTTTATCGTTCCTTCAATCCTAAGAGTGCTATGCCCAACACTACCAATAAAAGCATTGATAGATATCTCTAAGTTTTTAAGACTATCTTGTTACTTAAACTTTTCTTGGTTTTCCATCACCATCATGTATGTTATCTTCTTCTTCACTAAATACATCAACAATAATGGCATTAAGTTATTTTATTCTATATACATGGCTTGGCATAACTTCTCACCATACTTAAAACATAGATTCTATAGCCTTCTTTGCTCAATAAGCCATTGTCTATTTGGTATGGAATTGGCTGGTGGGTTTGATTTTGGTTAAGTATAAATAAGCGTAGGATAAGGGCAATATTATAGGTAAACATAAGTTTGATGGTCTATTGTGTCTTTTGTTTTCAAATTCAAGTGACAGTTCATGCAATTTAGCTTGTTTATAGGCAACGGTAACATTTCCAAGTTCATTAACCTTCATTCTAGACTTGATATCATCCTTGAGTCCATTTATAAAGCTAGAAACAAAGTAACCTTCAGTCAAACATGGGTTATATTGTAACATATAAGGTCTTAACTCTTCAAATTTTTCTTGATATTCATCCACAGTAGTCTTTTAGGCTAGTTTGCTAAATTCCTCTATTATGACAGAATAGGTTTTATCACAGAACTTTTGGCACAAGTCATTAGTAAACTCTAGCCATGTTACCCTTTCCTCTTACATAAAAAATCCATCAAACCACACCTCAACCTTTCCTACTAAGTGCATGGCAACTATCTTTAATTTTTTGGTGATTAGAGATTGAAAATATGGCAAAATATTTTTGATATTTTTTAAGCCAACCCTTACGATTACTTCCATTAGAGATCGACAACTCAATCTTAGGTCTATGTGCAAATGTATTCATAATAGTCGAAGAACTATTACAAGCAATGAAATCAACATGTTTAGACTATTTAGTATTAAATTGAAAGGGACTGCCATTGATTTCATGTTGTTTACTGGCTAACAGTCCTACTTCACTAGGCTTATAAGCATATTTTTCATGATCATCTATTATTATGATTTCGATAGGTGCTTTACCTACCTTTTAGACTAAAAAATAGGAACAGATGGTTGGCTACTGGTCATCCCTTCTAATTCTAGTTAGGTTTCAAT